TTGTCTTGTCCTGTAAAGATTAAAGCCTCAGAAATATGGTCACTATGAGTTGGAATCAACTCAATGTCAGTGAGTTTGTGTTTTTAGTTTTTTTTGACACATGGAATAAATTGCCCTTGCTGCTCATAAGGTTCGAAGTCTACCTAACTTTGGAACTTCATTTTCTTCTTTCTCCTACTGTTGTTTTTGCTACAAAAGCAAATTGTGCCATTCTTGTTCTCTTGATTGAATTTATATTTACCTTCCCCAGGCTGAGAATCTGAACTTTGTCTTATTTTCAACCGGAAGAGGTTATTCAGGTTCTTTAAATCTTTTTTATTTTTGTAAATATTTACAAATAACAGGTTTATGTTTTAACTGCAATGTTTACATTTTTCACGTTTTCATTTGGTGATCGTGTTAAGTATATATTGGTTTACTTAGGGGCTTATTACATTTGGTCTTACGGTTTTGAGTTTTATATGTATCAAGTTTTAAATACAGTACTATTAGATGTGTTTATGATAAAATGATAATCTTACGGCATACAAACAGTACATTGCTCCATTTTCATAAGAGGAAATTTATATTTTGTCTCATTTATACACATTGTTATGTAAGTCTAGCTTTTTTTTTCAGGCTTAAGTTTTTGTATTTTTCCTAGCCACTGCTTCTGGTTTTCCCATGACAGTACTGAGTATTGTGTTGTTTTTGAACACTTTGTTCCTGTCTGTATAATCCAAATTAAGTATTGTTTGCATTAAAAAAAATGTAATCTCCTACAGAAGTTCTGCCCTAATCTCCTTACTTTTAATTTGTATTTCTAGGCATTTCCATGTTATGCCCCGGAGCAGGTAGTCCTGCCTCTCTTATCCAGCCACTTTCCCTCTTCACCAAGCATGGGATCTCCTCTCTACAGTTGACCTCCAGGATTTCAAATGGAAAACGCTGCTTTCCCTTATTTTGTTCTCCTCTGAAATTCAACCCAGAGCAGCCGTTCGGATCAGTCATGCCAATTTCTCCCCAGCAAGAATCAACTGACCTGGGACTTCAGCGGTTGTTGGCTTAATTGTAAAGAAATTACTTTGAAAGCCGAAGTCCAACAGAAATGTGAAACGCATGCTTTGATGGTGGTATTTGTGAACTCCTTACTTTTTGTTCCGTATAAGAAGACCAACGAAATAGCAAACATGGAGGACTTCAGGTTTGGTTTGTTGTTGTTGTTTTTTGCCATGTCTTCCAGTTTCAGCCATTATCAGGAAAATCAGTTCATCCTGCAGCAGTAAGTTCTAATATACAGTCGAATTTGAAGTATAAAAGAGATGGTAAAACATGACATATATCCAAACCTCATCATGACATATTTCCTGATTAAACAAAGGTCCAATTTTGCAATTAAACCTTTATTCTGATAAGAAGTATAAGGCAAAATATCTTGGGGTTAATCATATGTGAATAAACTTTCACAGTCTCTGTACTGTTGTGAGTTTTTGCATATGTGAACCACAATTTTAGGTGTGAGAAGGGGATTTTTTTTGTCTCCTGGAGAAGGAAATTGTGTTCACCTTTTCTCGGAAATCTTTGGCCATCGATAATTATGTTTTTTCCATTCAGCTAAGGACTGATGGACTGTATTGTTCAGAAGCTAAACTCATGAATATGCTCATGTTTAGTGAAAGACTGGTAAAAGAAAACAAAGCTGCCCTTAGCCTATTGATGGAACCCTTTTTACCTTTCTGGGAAGTGGGCTGCTGGGTTGGAAATGACTTTATTGTTCTTTGAGGGGTTTCCATTCGAGACTTGGTTTTTTATTCTGTCATGGCAAGACAATTAGCATGAGTGGTTTTGCAGTTCGGAAGATGTTGATGGACCCTGGGTTATGATCTGCTCTCAACCACGGACATAAAGGAGGATGGGGTGGTGGGGAAAGGTTCACATAACTCCTGTCTCCTAAGCAGCAAAGATGCCTTATGCAACTACATATGACTCTGGTGTTTTACATTGTTTAGTTTGTCTCTTATAAAATTATAAGTAACTTTTTTTCCTTCCAATCAAGATGAGTTCTTGGATGTTTGGTTTGTTTTTTCTAGGTGATGTTAGGCTGAAAAGGCTGGGACTCAGGTAACTGTGTGTAGGTGGAACTTAGCCTTCTCAGGAGAGAATGGGCCTCGTAAACAATGGTGTGTCAGTGTGCAGAATTAGAAAAATGTCAGGGTCCGGGGGGAAAAAAATCAAGACAAATTTCAGCAAGATATATGGATCTTTTGTTTCTTCACTTAAAGTTACACCACATGAACAGACTGTAGAAGAAAGCTATCTTGACTTTCAAATGAACAGGATCATTGTGTGAATTACTAGGCTCTTGTATAAGGAAAAAGTCAATGTGTGATCCTTTGAGATTAGAGAATTTAAAACTTCTTAGGTGGAATTACAAAGAGATAGTTTTATATGATCTATATTATAGGGAATGTTTGCACAGAACCATGTATGTTATGCTAGGGATTTGTGTGGATTTACCCAAATCTGATAATAGAAATTGCCCATCATGAGAAATAGAGCTCTAGTAATTAGCAAAAAGAAGGTTTTTTAGTAAAATAATTACCTAGTGTAGATGAAATGTATTCTGCTTTACCTGGAGGTAATTACTGTGGTAAATCATTATACAGATAACATTGGTTAAAGGTAACCTAAAATTTCCCCCCAAATGCCTCCAACCCATTTTCTTATGCCATGTATACGCGAGTATAAATTGACCAGAATATCTGCTGAGGCACCTAATTTTATCACAAAAACTCCATTAAAAATGTGCTGAAAAACTCGGGTTATACACGAGTATATACGGTAATTTCTTTGGGTTTTGAAATTATTAAAAATTGAATGGAACCCTATGTACATGAGTACCATGATTATGCTGAAAATATATCATGGGGAACTTGTGTCTTCTACTTGCTCATTATCCATCTTCCTCATATCCTTTTAACAACTTTTTGGGCAAAATTGTTGGGCAGGAGATAAACACCAGTGAAACCATCCGTGACCCGCTTGTTTGAGCAGGTATAGGACCCACCTTCTCTGATTCTTTTTTTTTTCAGCTCATAGCCAAGAAACTTGTTTATTTGTGTTCTTTTAATATTCACCTATGGTGTTGATTAGGGTAAGAAACTATTAATTGCACCCTTCTAAATTGTTCTAGTTTGTTCCATACTTGTCACCAGTTGACACATCACAAAATTAGCATACACCAGTAATACTTGCCTAGTGTTTACTTAATATATAAATTTATTGTTTTTCCTGGCTTATTTTAGTCCTCTTCATGATGGCAGAAACTATAGACAGGACTATGTCCTTATCGGCAGCTAGGCCTACTTCCTTTCTTTTCCTCATCTTTGTTAGCTGGAAATTTTTCTTTTGAAAAATTAAACAAAAATGGGATATGTGCAATAGAAACATATATATATATATGTATATTTTAATACTTGTGGACAAAATGTTACAAGTTGTTTAAGAACAACAAAATCACCAATGTCTTCCATTTTGAGATGTGTATAGTTTTGTAAGCATTAGTGTTTGGTAGCAAATTATAGTGCTATGTTAGAGGTTAGTGCATGAACTTGATAGTAATTATAAACTTCAGGATGATTTATTGATAATCAGTAGTGTAAAAAGAGTGGAAAATCTAACCCTTTTTTCCCCACAGATAACTGAATTGTGATATTCTCCCTGGGGAAAGGAGATTAAGGCCAAAATGACTCATTTATGAATAGAAATGAGGGTCATAATTAGAAATTTTGTGTTTGAGGATATTTAAACTTTCCATAGGATAGATGGAAACCACCTCTGTGTCTGGGGAAGTCTCACATCAAAATATAGACCATGTCGACGATTGCTTTGCGCTCTCAGTTTGAAGTGAGACTGTTATAGTTTCCACGTTGTACTTTTTTTACGTTCATTATTTTCCTACTTTCACATCAAGAAATTAGTTTACATTTTGCATGTCTTACTAAGATCCTATATTAGAACAGAGTCAGGGATAGAGGGTAAGTAGTAGGGATTGGGGGTGGGGGACCCTCTTGCATAACCGAGACCATTGAGTGTGGAAAGTCTACTCAAAGGCAAAAAGCCTGTGTGTGGGACTGGAGACACCAAGGGCTGCCTGCCTTTGTATGTGATAGCCCATCTGGGGGCTGCCATTACACACAGTTGTCGATTAAGGATCTCATGTCACTTTCTGATCAGAAAGTGGATGGCTGATCAGGTATCACAACGGTCAGGGCCCCCTCTCTTAGTTTGAGGTGAGATTCTTCTTACAGATTTTGAATTATATACCTATTAGGTTCATTATTTCCCCACTCCTTTCACATCAAGAAATTATTTTAACGTTTTTCTGGTTTTACTAAGATGCTATATTCCTTCAGTGACTGCTTTGCTAATCTGCGGTATGCTATGTGTTATAGGAAAAATACTTTGTCAGTGGTACAGCGTGCGCTAGCTTATGGATTTGTCACAAGCTCTTCCTGTTTCCAAACATGCTGCATTTTCCATGCATGGGAAATGGAACAAGATGGAACCTACCTAAGTTGCCACATCACAGGTGAACTTTTTCTCTGGGATAGAGTTAGCCTCAGATAGCTTCACCGTTTTCTACTTTCCTTGAGAAATAAAGGGCTTCAAAAAGTTTATATGAGATTTACTTTTTTTTTTTTTGCTGAACCACATGGAAGTTTTTAATCACGTTAATACTATTTAGCTGTAGAACAGAGCCAAGGAGAAAGCTGCAGGCAGGAATCAGTAGTAGGGCTCAAGGGGGCGAACAACTGAGGACACAGCAGAAAGTCTCAAAGGCCTGTGTGTGGGACTGGAGCCACCAAGGGCTGTCAACCTTTGTGTGGAGATGCCAGAGTCGGGGCTGTCATTACACACTTGTCAATAAAGGATCTCATGTCACTTTCTCTGGCTGGTCAGCTATCACAAAGGTCAGGGGCCCCTTCCTCTCACAGCACAGAACAGAATAGTAGTCTTGTAGAAGTTCCTAAAGGTGGAGCAGTTGCAGCATGCAAAATGGGATGGGACCTAGCAGGGAAGAGGAGACACTGTAGCCATCACATCTAGAAATACTAGTCTTCCCTGCTTTTGCTCCCATCCCCCTGCTGCTGTCCACATTAAACCCATTATGCAGGATCCTCCTTTGCTTCACAATGGTGCATTTACTAGTAAGATTCTCCAGCACCCCTGCCTGGTCTCTGCAGCTGACCTGCCTGGTGCTCGGGCGGGGGCTACTAGGGAGGTCTTACTGCAGTTCACTGGCAGTACCCTCGTTATCTTTTGATTCCAATTTTCCAAAAACTTTTTGAGGCCCCCTCATACAGCTTTTTGTGGGAAAGTACTTATCTCTGAAGGCTGTCTTGTGGACATAGCATTTTTCTGATGTGATTTTTAAATCACAGTATGCAGACATTCTAAGATTTATTGACATTCTACATTTAGTATGATAGAAGACCCCAAACCGTTTTAATGTGGTATTTCATACAAGCTTAAATTAGTAGACCATTCAGCAAGCGGATGTCCAGGGACAGTTACAGATTCCTGTAGTGTCCTTAAAGTAGTTGACTAATGGGCTCAAGTAGTATAGTGCCTGGGAGATCCATTGCTAAAAAGCATTTTAAAAATATTTAAATACCTCTGAAAAGGTAAAGAATGCAAAATAGCACAGTGTATAGGAAAGGACATTTCCTGTTGCCAAAAACAAAACAAAAAAAGCCATAAAATGAATTACCCCGTATATACTCTAGTATAAGCCAACACAAGCCTAGGCGCCTGATTTTACCACAAACTGCATTTAAAATGTGCTGGAAAACTCAGCTTATACATGAGTATATACGGTAGCAGGTATCAAGAGGTAGATTTTTTGTAGCAATAAGGTTTTGCTTGTATAATTGCATTAGCAAGGTGGCATAGTAGACTAAGTGTTATCATTTTGACTTTGTGGGGCTCTCATTAACAGACCTCTCCATAAAGAAGATAACGTTCTAGGTAAAGAGCGTATAACCCCCCCCCCCCTTTTAGACCAGTATGGGTATATATAAATAAATATGTATGTAAGAATAAGTGTGTGAGAAAAACCCACTTGTGTGTAAGTCAAAGGCTAAAGATCCTATTTTATTTCTTAAAGCAGTGTGCTAGAGAGCCATTGAACTGTCACTTCCTAGTGCTTAACCTGCCAAGAAATGTACTTCTTGTGCCCCTCTGAAGAAATCTTGCACATTTTTTGTTCCTTTTAGCAATAGGCATTTACTCTACAATGGCATTGCTTTTCTGCTTGGTCAATTCATTTTTTTCCCCCATTGGTTTTCTTGGTGCATTTAAAAAAAGAAAAGTTTCATGTATATGTTCCAGGTTAAAAAAAACCACAAACCCAAACACAACTGGCTTTTCTTCATGCTTAAGGCTCGGGAAGCTCAGAATTAAAGGGGAAAATAT